GGAGCAACTAAGTCCATTCACAACTACTGCAGCCCAAGAGCATCGAGTCTCTGCTTCCCAAACAGAGCGGCCACCACAGGGAGAACTTCAGCACAGAAACGAGAGAGCAGCCCCCACGCCCTACAACCAGAGCAAAGCCCACACAGCATCGAAGACCCAGCATAGCCAAAAATAAATAAAAAACCTTTTTTTAAGTAGGAGATCACAGCAATCTCTGCTGATCCAGAAGCTAGGACTCTGAGCTCCCAACACAGGGGGCCACGTTCAATCCCTGGTCAGGGCACTAGGTCCCACATGCTGCAACTGAAGGCCCTGCATGCCACAGCTAAGACCCTGCGCAGCCAATTAAACGAATCCTTAAAAGTAGGAGGCAGTTCATCTGCAACATTTTAGGAAATAAAAAAAAAAAAAAAAGATCTTATTTTGCAAGTGCTCATGGTTGATTGCAAAATTTTCTCATAATATGCAGCTGTTTAAAAAAGAAGAAATTTAGAAAGTACAGAAACTAAAACCCACCCATAAATGTGTGGGGAACACCAATTACTGCAAGATCTGACCACCACACAGGGGAACACCTGTGTGTGTTTTTCTTCTAAAAAAGCTTTCAGCCTCCACCCCTCTTCCCACCGGCCTCTGCTCTGCTCACCAAGAAGACTGCGCTTTGGCCTCATGACCGGGGCTTTCTGTTGAACTCAGGGAGGTGGAGGAGCAGGGCTGTGAGGTTGGGGGTACCATCTGGCCTGCAGTGAGGAGAGAAGCGCGAGTGCTCTGCCTCTGGGTCCAGTAACTCCAGGGGCCTCAGGGGAGCCGCCTGGGAAGAAGCCTCTCAAACACCTTCCCTGCAGTCTCCACAGTTAGAGCACACCCCACGTCTCGGGGTTTGGCTGTGGGTTAACAAGTCCTCTCTTGTTGGACAGAAAAGTGTTTCCACAGAGAATCTGCCCAGATCTTGGCCTAGTTTGGTTCTCTTATTGGACATGGAAAGTGTTTCCACAGAGAATCTGCCTGGATCTTGGCCTCGGTTGGTACAGATGTAACAGGCAGTACGTCCAGGGCTCAGGGAAGTTACTTCTGAAGCTCTCTGGGTTTAGGGCTACAGCAGCTCCTCACCTCCACCCCTTCCATGGTCATGGAGCCTTCTCTTCCAGAGGAAGGTGTTTGGCAACATCAGCCACCAAGACACACACTGAAGAGGAGATAGCCCACGGCAGGCGGGGCTGGGTGTTCCTGGGGGAGCAGAGGGGCCTTGGACACTGCATGCTGGATCCCTGCCCCACCAGCTTCTCCTCCTTCTCGCTGGGCATGCAGCTTTCACCTCCGGGGTGCCCGCCAGGGAGGGGCTCCCAAGGCACCAAGCTGTGGTTGGCGATGGGGGAGCTGGATGCCAGGGAACCCAAGACCCTGCAGCAGGTCAGTGCACTGTGGACGAGGGCTGGCCTCACTGAACGGTTAGGCCCTGTGCATTCAGGACACCCTCTATGGACCCCAGGTGGAGGTGCTACTGCCCCCAGTGCCCACCTAGGTCTCCGGAGGTGGAAGAGAGACCGGGTCGTCCTTCCCTCCTCCTGCCCAGAGAATGACAAAGGCCAGTTCCCAAAAGTGGGAGCAGGGTGGGCAGAGTGAGTCTCGGGTCTCACAGGGTCCCTGTGAAGAGGGGTTCGCTGCTGCCTGGATCCCTCTTGGCTGGTTCCCCTTCTGTGTTGTCTTCACACCAAATCTCACAAGGACGAGGCAGTCCAGGTGCCCACAACTTCACTCGCCCAGGTGCTGACAACCCTCCTTATTTATTATCGGCAGGGAGAAAGGGTGGCTGGTGTGACGCTCCCCTGGGCCAGAGAAGAGAGCCCCCAGGCTGTGTCTCTTCTACTCCTGACACCCAGGTGGCCGCTGGGGGCAAAGCACCTCCACCTGGTGTCTGGAGAGGGTGGCCTGAATGGACAAAGCCTAACTGTTCAGTGTGGCTTCAGGGGGTACGGGCAAGAGGGGTACTAAATCCTTTCTAAATATTTCAGACAACCACTGAGTTCCTTTTGGTTTTTGGTTTCAGATCTTTTAATATGGTCCATTTTCAGAGTCTTTATTGAATCTCTTACAATATTGCTTCCATTTTATGTTTTGATTTCTTGACTGCAAGGCATGTGGGATGGTTACCAAGTCCAAGCTCACTCTGAACGCCTCACAACAGGCTGATTAATCAGAGCCGCGGTGCTGAGACAAGGAATATGACTTTACTTGAAAAGCCAGCAGATTGAGAAGATAGCAGACTAATATCTCGAAGAAACCATCTTGTCAGGGTCTGGATGCCAGTGTCTTTCATAGAACACTGAGCTGGGAGGTGAGGAAATACAGTAAAAAGGCCATTAATCTGGCAAATATCTGGAATGGCCAGTCTCGGGAGGAGATGTGTTACTTTCTCCCTCCTGTAGCCATCCACACGTGGACAGGTCCTGGACAGAGGCAGAGGGGCGGGGTTTCCTGAGGCAGGCCATTATGTATGGACAGCATCCCTGCAGCAAACAGACAAACAGGAAGCAAAGGTTAAAGTAAAACTTTCAACACGGAGTCAGATTTTCTTCTTCCCTGTAACAATTCCCCAGTGTCAGCGTCCATTCCACAATCTTATGGAAAAAAGGGTGATGAGTGTTCTAAGTGCTCTACTAGTTGCACCTTTTGGGGAGTGTCCACCACTGGTGCCAGTGTGCTGAATGTTCAGATTTGTCTTTTGTTATTCTTTGGAAAGTCTCTACTTCATATGTATAGAGATAATAATATTATAATACAGGTGTTGAGACTTATTTTATTCAGTACAAATCTTTTAGGACTTCAAAACCAGGGGGTATCATCTAAAGTTAAGGAATTTAGCACTTTTCTATGTGTGGGAAGATGCACCAGCCATCTCACTGAAATCAACCCCTTTGATACACACCTTACCACCTGGGACCAGCATCCTGTCTTCTCCTTCCTGAGTTTCCTCAGGGATCACAGTGGGGAGTGGCTGCAGTCTGATTGAGCTGGAAAGCAGGTATTCTTTTCTTTCCCGAGTTTCCTCAGAGCTCACCATGAGACATGGCTTCAGTTTAATAGCTTCTAGAGAGTAGGAGGGGAACCTGGGTTTCCATTGAGATCATCTCAGCAGAGAGAGTAAGCATGTCCTGTGACTCCAGACAATCTTCCAACGTTCAGGGCTCAGCGTTCAGCTTGCAGGATCCACATTCGTCAGTTCAGCCACCATGCTCTGCACTTCGTTGGTATCTAGCCCTGACACCTACACTGCAGGAGGCCCTCTAAATGTGGGGTCCTGTCCATCAAACTCTGTCAAACCCTCCAAGCCTGACCCAGGCCCAGCTGTGCTGAGAGGGTCTCACTGGGGACCAAGGGTCCCCCTCCTGTTCTCCCACATTCCATACCTGAGTGGGGACAAGGCAGGGGCTGGGGGCTCAGTGCCTCCAAGCAGGTAGGGTCGACGTTCTCCCATCACCCCTTGTGGTCCATCCCTGGGAGCACAGTCTACTGTCACTTTTAGCAGCAGAGGACATGTTTCCCCAGATCCAGCCCACTCTCTAGGGGGTGTGAGCTGTGAGCACTAACACAGGAAACCCTCAGTGACCTGCTTAGGCTGGAAGACTAGTTCCTGGGATGCGAGCTGAAGTCTGAACGTAGCTTCCCATTGGGATTAGCCTTCTCCAGACCTAGCTTGGGGGCAGCAAGAGTGCAATAAGTGGCCCCCAGCTGGGGCAGCCACACAGTGCCTCTCGACAGCCCTGTGGAAACTGGGCACCAGAGTGACCAGGAGCCCACATTCACCCAGCAGATGGCTTGTGAGAGGTCTCTGACAGACTAAAGCAACCATGAGCCTGTCCTCACAGCAGACAGCTCTGACAGGTCTGTGACAGACCAGAGTGACCACAAGCATGCATTCATCGAGTGGACAGCCTCTGATAGGTCGGTGACAGACCAGGGTGACCCTGAGCCTGCACTCATCCAGCACATGGCCTCTGATAGATCTGTGAAAGGCCAGAGCGACCACGAGCCTGCACTCACCCAGCGGATGGCCTCTGAGAGGTCTGTAACAGACCAGAGTGACCACGAGCCTGCACTCACCCAGTGGCTGGCCTCTGAGAGGTCTGTGACAGATCAGAGTGACCATGAGCCTGCACTCGCCCAGTGGATGTACTGTTAGAGGTCTGTGACAGGTCAGAGTGACCACAAGCATGCATTCACCCAGTGGATGGCCTCTGAGAGGTCTGTGATGGACCATAGTGATTATGAGCCTGCACTCACCCAGCGGTGAATTCTTGCCTGGAGAATCCCATGGACAGAAGAGCCTGGTGGGCTACAGTCCATGGGGTCACAAAGAGTCAGACACAACTGAACACAACTGACACCTGAGCACACACACATGAAACAGTAATGGCCTCAGGAACAGAGGGAACAGACTGGTGCTCTCCAAGGAAGAGGGGACGGTGGAGGGATGGAGTGGAAGGCTGGGGTCAGCAGATACAGCTTTTATAAGTAGAATGGATAAACAAGGCCCTGCTGCATAACAGTCACTGTATTCAGTGTCCAATGATAAACTATAAAAGAATATTTTAAAAAGAATATATATATATGTGTAAGTGTATCCCTGACCTTTGCAGCAGAAATTAACACATTGTAAACCAACTATACTTCAAAAAAAAAAAAAAAAATTAAAAAAAAAAAAAAACCTAGACCCTAGCGAATTATAACGGACACTCAACCCAGGAGCACCAAGTCCCGAGCAGTCAGAACATGGACCAACCAGGCAGAAGAGGGGCCCACAGGAGATAGGGACCCTCAAATCCCACAGGCTAGCTGTGAGCCCTGGGCACTGTAAGCCACACGTGTCGCTGGAGGAAATGGGAACTTTACCCACACGACTCCCCCTCCAGCTCAAAACAAAGTGGCTCTGCTTCCCCTGACCCCTTAACTGAAGGGCCCTGGGACGCCCTGGCTTGGTGCTGGAACCAGGAATGTACTGTTCAGACCCCAATGCAGGGGAGGTCTGTGAGGGCAGCTCTGGAGCGGGTGGGCCAGGATGAACCCAGCAGCTCAGCCCGTTCCTCGAAGGTCGGACAAAACAGAGCCCAGGAGGCCGGAAAGTGTCCTAATGGAGGGCAGGCCCCACGTCGGTGCCTCCGCTCTCTGGCTGAGGCCCAGCGCTGACCCCCTGTGCCGGTCTGCAGCGCGTTCTTCACACGCCCTGACGGCTCAGCTGCTGAGCCCCAAGTTGAAGGCTTGCGATGGCGGACATGCGCACAGGTACCAGCAGCACTGACCATCTGGCTCCCGGCCCAACAGCGAGTTCCAGCTGAGACCAGTGGGCACGTTGTCAGCTGTGCTGCAGGGTGGGCCCCGTGTCACCAGTAAATGGCAGTGTCACGATGCAGGCCAGCAGGACTCAGCCTGGCGGCTTGCGAGAGTCAGCGGGGACACACCGACCCATGAACACTCCCGGCCCTGAGTCAGGCAGAGACCCGAACAGGCAGACAACTGCAGAGAGCAGAGTCCACGGCACAGACAAGGAGCAGCCGTCCCCGGGCAGGGAAGGGGCCCCATCTCAGGGGGCGCCCTTGGGATCCCCCAGCTTAAGCATAAAGAGGCTTCAGGCACAGGTGGTAGGAACAGACTTGGAGCTGCTTTTAAGTCATGCAGGGCAGGAAACGCAGATGAGGGAAGGCCAGAGGGAATGTACCGCAAAAAACAGAGTGTCTGGGGAACAGACGGGCTTGGGTGGAGCTGAGACCAAGGGGGCTGGGAGTCCGGGTTTAGAAACCCTGTATGCCTCTCTCCCGTCTCGGCCTCCTAATCTACTTAACTCCCACTCTGCATCCTGATGCCACCTGTCCTGCTCATCCCCACACTCAGACCGTCCACTCTTTCTCAGATATTTGCTTAGCACCTGCCTCTGGACAGGTCGTGTTCCAGGCACGGGACAGCCGTGAGGAGACAGACAATAACCCCAGTCCTTGGGGAGCAGAAACTCTACCAGAGGCCAGATGCACCGCTCCTTTGACCGAGCCCCGGCCTTGCCCTCCTCAGCCACCGGCCGGCCTGCTGGAGCTCTGGCCCCAGAGACAGTTCCGTCTGAGCATACCCCTCCTCCAAGAAGGCGCCTCTCTGGATGCACCGCTCGTCAGCCCCTGCCTCTCCGTGTCCTATGTCCTTCTCAGCACAGACCACCATCTGAAACGGCCTCCCCGCCACCTGCGTGACCTCAGGGTACCTGGCGATGTCATGCCCTCGGTGAAGGAACATCCCAGCTGCCCTCACGCCCTTTCTGCTGAGTTCCCACCACAGATTCCCATCATGGCGGCCTGGAAGGACTCTCCAGAAGGGTGTGGAGCAGGGGCTCGGTGGGGCCCGAGAGGGTGGGCCCCCTGGGCTGCTCCAGTGGTCAGGGTAGACGGAGACCTTCCAGTAGTGGGTCGGACCAGCCGGCAGGCCGATCAGCTTCCTTCTCCCTGGGACCACGAGGGGGCGATGCTCTCATTGCTGCTCAGGGTTGTGGCTGCCCTTGAAGGGCTGTCAGTTCTACAGTCCTGAGCACCCTGTGAGCTGTTACACATTTTACCTGTGTGATCTCAACTCCCTCAGGCAGAACGCTCTGGGCTACACACTTGGAAGAATCTACTGCAGTGTTTTCAGTTCAACTGAGTCTCTCAGTCGTGTCCGACTCTTCGCGATCCCATGGACTGCAGCACACCAGGCCTCCCTGTCCATCACCAACTCCTGGAGTTTACTCAAACCCATGTCCATTGAGTCGGTGATGCCATCCAACCATCTCATTCTCTGTCATCCCCTCTCCTCCTGCCTTCAATCCTTCCCAGCATCACGGTCTTTTCCAGTGAGTCAGTTCTTCACATCAGGTGACCAAAGTATGGGAGTTTCAGCTTCAACATCAGTCCATCCAATGAACATTCAGGACTGATTATGTTTAGGATGGACTGGTTGGAACTCCTTGCAGTCCAAGGGACTCTCAAGAGTCTCCTCCAACACCACGGTTCAAAAGCACCAATTCTTCGGTACTCAGCTTTCATTATAGTCCAACTCTCACAATCATGCAGGATTACTGGAAAAACAATACCCTTGACTAGATGGATCTTTGTTGGCAAAGTAATGTCTCTGCTTTTTAATATGCTGTCTAGGTTGGCCACAACTTTTCTTAAAAGCAGTAAGCGTCATTTTATTTCATGGCTGCAATCACCATCTGCGGTGATTTTGGAGCACAAGAAAATAAAGTCAGCCACTGTTTCCACTGTTTCTCCATCTGTTTACCATGAAGTGATGGGGCCAGATGCCATGATGTTAGTTTTCTGAATGTTGCTGCTGCTGCTGCTAAGTCACTTCAGTCGTGTCCGACTCTCTGCAAGCCCGTAGATGGATGCCCACCAGACTTCCCCATCCCTGGGATTCTCCGGGCAAGAACACTGGAGTGGGTTGCCATTTCCTTCCCCAGTGAATGAAAGTGAAAACTGAAAGTGAAGTCACCCAGTCATGTCTGACTCTTCACGACCCCATGGACTGCAGCCTACCAGGCTCCTCCGGCCATGGGATTTTCCAGGCAAGAGTACTGGAGTGAGGTTCCATTGCCTTCTCCTCAAAATATTGGGCTTTAAAGCAAGCTTTTTCACTCTCTTCTTTCAGTTTCATCAAGAGGCTCTTTAGTTCTTCTTCACTTTCTGCCATAAGGGTGGTGTCATCCGCATTTCTGAGGTCATTGATATTGTTCCCAGCAATCTCAATTCCAGCTTGTGCTTCCTCCAGCCCAGGGTTTCTCATGATGTACTCTGCATACAAGTTAAATAAGCAGGCTGACAATATACAGCCTTGACATACTCCTTTCGAATTTGGAACCAGTCTGTTGTTCCATGTGCAGTTCTAACAGTTGCTTCCTGACCTGCATACAGGTTTCTCAAGAGGCAAGTCAGGTGGCCTGGCATTCCCATCTCTTTCAGAAATTTCCACAATTTATTGTGATCCACTGTCAAAGGCTTTGGCATAGTCAATACAGCAGAAATAGATATTTTTCTGGAACTCTCTTGCTTTTTCAATGATCCAGTGGATGTTGGAAACCTGATCTCTGGTTCTTCTGCCTTTTCTAAAACCAGCTTGAACATCTCGATGTTCACAGTTCACGTATTATTGAAACCACTGTATCTACTACTGTGGGCAAGAATCCCTCAGAAGAAATGGAGCAGCCATCATAGTCCACAAGAGAGTCTGAAATGCAGTACTTGGATGCAGTCTCAAAACGACAGAAGGATTTCTGTTCATGTCCAAGGCAAACCATTCAATATCACAGCAATCCAAGGCTATGCCCTGACCAGTACTGCTGAAGAAGCTGAAGTTGAACAGTTCTATGAAGACCTGCAAGACTGAAATGCAAAAGAGTGAAGTCAAGAAACACCTGGAGTAACAGGCAAATTGGGCCTTGGAGTACAAAATGAAGTAAGGCAAAGGCTAATAGAGTTCTGCCAAGTGAATACACTGGTAAAAGTAAACACCCTCTTTGGAAAAAAGTGTACTTAACTCAACAGTCAGAAAACTAAGGTCGTGGCATCTAGTGCCATCATTTCATGGCGAATAGATGGGAAAACAATGGAAACAGTGACAGAATTTATTGAGGGGGGAGGGGGGACGGTGGGAGGGCTCCACCAGGCTTTGGCAATACGTGAACAGTGAACTTCCAGATGTTCAAGCTGGTTTTAGAAAACACAGAGGAATCAGAGATCAAATTGCCAACACCTGCTAGATCATTGAAAAGGCAAGAGAGTTCCAGAAAAACATCTGTTTCTGTTTTATTGACTATGCCAAAGCATTTGACTGTATGGATCGCAATAAACTATGGAAACCTCTAAAAGAGATGGGAATACCAGGCCACCTGACGTTCCTCCTGAGAAACCTGTATGCAGGTCAGGAAGCAACAGTTAGAACTGGACATAGAGTAACAGACTGGTTCCAAACATGAAATAGAGTCTGTAAAGGCTGTATATTATCACCCTGCTCATTTAACTTATATGCAGAGTACATCATGAGAAACCCCGGGCTGGAGGAAGCACAAGCTGGAATCAAGATTGCCAGGAGCAATAACAATAACCTCAGATACGCAGATGACACCACCCTTATGGCAGAAAGTGAAGTAGAGCTAAAGAGCCTCTTCATGAAAGTGAAAGAGGAGAGTGAAAAAGTTGGCTTAAAATGAAACTTTCAGAAAACCATGATCACGGCATCTGGTCCCATCACTTCATGGCAAATAGCTGGGGAGCATTGGAAGCAGTGACAGACTATTTTTGGGGCTCCAAAATCACTACAGATGGTGACTGCAGCCATGAAATTAAAAGATGCTTACTATTTGGGAAAAAAAAAAAAAAAAACAAAAAAAAACAACGATGCCACACCCAGACAGCATATTAAAAAGCAGTGAGATTACTTTGCCAACAAAGGTCCATCTAGTCAAAGCTATGGCTTTTCCAGTAGTCATGTATGGATGTGAGAGTTGGACTATAAAGAAAGCTGAGCGCCAAAGAATGGATGCTTTTGAAGTGTGGTGTTGGAGAAGACTCTTGAGAGGCCCTTGGACTGCAAGGAGATCCAAACAGTCCATCCTAAAGGAGATCAGCCCTGGATGTTCATTGGAAGGACTGATGATGAAGCTGAAACTCCAATACTTTGGCCACCTGATGTGAAGAGCTGACTCATTTGAAAAGACCCTGACGCTGGCAAAAACTGAGGGCAGGTGGAGAAGGGGATGACAGATTATGAGATGGTTGGATGGCATCACCGACTCGATGGACATGGGTTTGTGTAAACTCAGGGAGTGGGTGATAGACAGGGAGACCTGGTGCGCTGCAGTTCATGGGGTCGCAAAGAGTCAGACACGACTGAGCAAATGAACTGAACTGAAATGAAAACCACTGCAGATGGGGGCTGCAGTCATGAAATTAAAATAGGCTTGCTCCTTGGAAGAAAAGTTATGACTAACCTAGACAGCATATTAAAAAGCACAGACATTATTTGTCGACAAAGATCTGTCTAGTGAAAACTATGATTTTTCCAGTAGTCATGTATAGATGTGAAAGTTGGACTATAAAGAATGCTGAGTGCTGAAGAACTGATGCTTTTGATCTGTGGTGTTGGAGAAGTCTTGAGAATCCCTTGGACTCCAAGGAGATCCAACCAGTCCATGCTAAAGGAAATCAGTCCTGAATATTCATTGGAAGGACTGATGCTAAAGCTGAAATTCCAATACTTTGGCCACCTGATGCGAAGAGCTGACTTATTTGAACAGACCCTGATGCTGGGACAGATTGAAGGCGGGAGGAGAAGGGGACCACAGAGGATGAGATGGTGAGATGGCATCACCGACTCAATGGACATGGGTTTGGGTCGACTCCAGGAGTTGGTAATGGGCAGGGAGGCCTGGAAAGCTGTAGTCCACAGGGTCACAGAGAGTCAGACAGGACTGAGCAACTGAACTGAACCAAATCACTATTATTAACAGTCTCCTTCCTATCAATTGGAGCATTAGACCCCTGATTCCAATATGACCAATGAATACATTTAGTCTCAAATATTTTCTGTCCCTAACACGAAGCCCTATGCATATGACACATATCCTCATCCATCCTATTATCAAGCACTCTTCCACAAGCATAAGAAATGTGTCTGACTAGAGTTACTTTGAGAGAGTAAATAATAGAGATTTCAATCCTCTTATATCTAGAATTATAGGAATTGAACATACCCCTAAGAATTCAAAGTTCTTTGTGCTACCAAATTACACCACATTCTATAAGTAACATCAGCTAATTAAACTATTAGGCCTGTACCCCAAAAATGTTCATTTATACCCTTTCTGTACTAAAAAGTCCCATCATCTTTATCATTATCCTATCAACTATTTTCTCAGGATTTATTGTCATTATAATTATCTCCATTGATTGCCTATCTGATTTGGCTTTGAAATAAATATATTAGGCATGATCCCCATCATAATAAATAATTCAACCCAGGAGCAACAGAAGCATCAACTAAATACTTGACACAACCCACCGCATCAATATTACTCATGGTAACTGTCATTATTTATTATTCTCAGGCCAATGGACTGTCACAAAACGATTTAATCCAACAGCATCCATATTAATAACAATAGCCTTATGAATAAAACTGGGAATATCTGCATTTCACATTGGAGTACCAGAAGGTATACAAGACATTTTACTAACATCTGGCTTAACCCGATGAACATGACAAAAACTTGCACCCATGTCTGTGCTATACCAAACTTCACCATCAATTAATTGAATAGTGTACTGTGTGCTGTGCGGAGTCGCTCAGTCGTGTCTGACTCTTTTTGACCCCAGGGACTGTATCCCACCAGGCTCTTCTGCTATGGGCATTCTCCAGGCAAGAATACTGGAGTTGGTTGCCATGCTCTCCTCCAGGGGATCTTCCCAAGCCAGGGATCAAACCCAGCTCTTCCACATTGCAGGCAGATTCTCTATCACTTGAGCCACTAGGAAAGCCCCAGTTAATACAAGCTATATCCACATTATCCACTATAATTGGAGGCTGAGAATGGTGAAATCAGATGCAGTATGAAAAATCACAGCCTAGTCATCAATGGCCCACATAGGATGTATAACTGCCATCCTATTATGTAATCCCACTGTGACAGACCTAAACCTGGTTGCTGCTGCTAAGTTGCTTCAGTCGTGTTCGACTCTACAATCCCATAGACGGCAGCCCACCAGGCTCTGCCATCTCTGGGATTCTCCAGGCAAGAACACTGGAGTGGGTTGCCATTTCCTTCTCCAATGCATGAAAGTGAAAAGTGAAAGTGAAGTCACTCCGTCGTGTCTGATTCTTCGAGACCTCATGGACCACAGCCTACCAGGCTCCTCCATTCATGGGAGTTTCCAGGCAAGAGTACTGGAGTGGGTTGCCATTGCCTTCTCCACTAAACCTGGTTATATTATCTTAACTTCCACTATATTCAGAATGTCCATAACCAACTCCACCACCACCACATTATCACTATCACATACATGCAACAAAATACCTATCATAACAACCCTTATCCTCATCATTCTGTTATCAATAGGAGGCCTTCCACCACTATTAGGATTCAGACCCAAGTGAATAATTATTGAAAAAATAACAACAACCAAAAAGAGCATCGTTTTACCAACAGTAATAGCAATCATGGCACTACTGTACTTCAACATATGACTCACACACTCCACAGCACTCACCTTATTCCTCTCCGCAAATAACAGAGAAAACATGATGATGCTACACTATGAAACAAATGACACTCCTATCTGCAATAAGTGCAATAGCCACAACATTTCTACCCATAACACCTATTGTCTCAATGCTGGAATAGGAATTTAGGTTAAATAGACCAAGAGCCTTATGAAACAAATGACACGCCCATCCACAATAACTGCAATAGCCACAACATTTCTACCCATAACACCTATTGTCTCAGTGCTGGCATAGGAATTTAGGTTAAATAGACCAAGAGCCTTCAATGCCCTGTGTGCTGTGTGCTTAGTCGCTCAGTCATGTCCGACTCTTTGCGATCCCATAAACAGTAGCCCACCAGGCTCCTCTGTCCATGGGATTCTACAGTCAAGAATCCGGGAGTGGATTGCCATTCCCTTCTCCAGAGGATCTTCCCGACGCATGGATGAACCCAGGTCTCCTGCATTGCAAGCAGATTCTTTATTGTATGAACTACCATAAAATTCCTGTACTACAGGTGTGTTCGTTATACTTCAAAGCCCTGAGCAAGTATAATTTACTGAATTCCTGTTCATAAGGTTTGCAAGATTAGATCTTACATCAATTGAATGAAAACCAGCCACTTCAAGCTAAACCCTCTCTAGATTGGTGGGCTATAACTCCATGAACATTTAGTTAAGAGCTAAATACTCTGGTCAACTGACCTCAACCTACTTGTACTGCAAAAGGAAAATAGAAAAAAAAAAAAAAAGCGGTATAATTCCCAGCAAATTGAACCAGCTTCTTTGAATTTGCAATTCAACGTGAAATATTCATCACAGGATTTAGTAAAAAGAAAAAGTGGATTAAACCCCTGTCTTTAGATTTACAGTCTAAAGCTTACTCAGCCATTCTGCCTATGTTCATTAACTGCCTATTATTTTCAACTAACCGTCAATATATTGGTACTATATACTTACTGTTTGGTGCTTGAGCTGGGAAGGCACTGTTGCAGTGAAAGGGAGAAAGGAGCAATGAGTTTTTCTTCTTTCTTTTCTGACAACAAAGAAGATAAAGAGAAGAGTGAGCAGGCCTGAACATTCCTAACTTTTCTTTTTCCTGTAACTGCTCCTAACGCCGAATGTCTGTGACTAGGTTTGCTTTCCTGTCCCTTAACTCTGCAGAAGCTACACTTGGCACCTATTTTCCTTTGACTCTGTGCTAAACATATCCCCTATCTGCAGTTTACCCTTAGAACACTCTTCCCCTTGAACTCACGTATCAGAAAGAAGGCCACAGAGTCACCGAATGCCAGACTCAATTACTGGGTTATTGACGTCAGTCTCCTACTGTCTTTGAAACAATGCAAAAGGAAGAAATCAAGATCCTATTCCCTTTGCTCCTCATCACTGATTCCTGACTGTGAGCTCTTGCCTTCTATAAGCCCCTAGATTTCTCATGGGGGGCAGGGTTCAGCTCTCGAGGCAGAAGCTTACTGCGTTTCTCCTCTCTGCCAGCTAAGAATAAAAGCCACCTTTCAATTTCCTCCAAACCCGGTTTCCATATTTTTCGTTCAGCGTCAGTGGGCAAAAAAGGCCAAGATTTTGGCTGGCAACCGTAGGCACAGCCCCAACGTGGTTAATCTGTGCTGGGTTGGGCCAACCTGGAACTCGACTTGGAGATGACCAAATTTATAATGTAATTGTAACAGCTCATGCATTTGTACTAATTTTCATTCTAGTACTCCCTAGTATGATTGGAGGCTTTGGTAACTGATTAGTTTCCCTAATAATTGGAGCTAATGACATAGTTTTCCCTGAATAAATAAGCTTCTGACTTCTCCCTCCCTCTTTTCCTCTTGCTGCTTGCATCACCAATAGTTGAAGCAGGCACTGGCACAGGCTGAGCTGTCTACACCTTTAGCCAGAAATCTAGCTCATGCTGGAGCTTAAGTAGACTTTACTATTTTTTCTCTACACTTAGGTGTTATCAATTTTATTACTTCAACTATTAATATAAACCCCTGCCATATCCAAATATCAAACAACACTGTTATTCATGTGATTAGCCCTAATCACAGACATATTACTATCACTACCTGTATTGGCAGCTGGTATTTTTACTATGCTATTAACAGATTGAAATCTAAATTCCGCTTTCCTTGATCCTGAAGGAGGAGAGGACTCAATACTGTATCAACATTGACCTGATTTTTCCAACACTCTGAAATATATATTTTGATTTTGCCAGGATTTAGGATGATTTCACATGTTGTAACCTATTACTTAGGGGAAAAGAAACTTTCAGGTGTGTGGGAATGGTCTGAGCTATAGTGTCAACTGGATTCTTAGGATTTATTGTATGAGAACATTGTATATTCACAGTAAGGACATATGTTGACACACAAGCCTATTTCACATCACCCACTATAATTATCACCAGCCCAACAAGAGTACAAATGTTCAGTTGATTAGCAATGCCTCATGACAGTAACATTAAATGACCCCCAGCTATAATGTGAGTCCTAGGTCTTATATTTCTTTTCACAGTCAGAGGGTTGACAGGAAATTTCCTGGCTAATTCATCTTCAGATATTTTCTTCATGATATACACTATGTAGTTACATAGTTGCATTATGTACTTTCAGTGGGAGATTTGCTATTATAGGGGGCTTTCTGCACTGAATCTCATTATTCTCAGGCTATACTCAACTTGACATGAGCAAAAATTCCCTTCACAAATGTGTTTGTAGATGTTAACATAACCTTTCTCAAAAACACTTTCTAGGCCTGTTTGGAATACCACAACACTATCCTGACTACCCAGATGCATACACAGTATGAAATACTATTTCATCTATAGGCCCATTCATTTCTTTAACCACAGTAATACCAATAATTCCTATTACCTGAGAAGCATTTGCATCAAGACGAGGTCTTAACAGTAGACCAACCATATCACACACTCAAAGAACCTATGCACATCATTTTAAAATAAATTAGGAAGGAATCGAACCCCCAGCTACTGATTTCAAGCCAAAATCATAACCATGATTTCTTTCTCTATTTAGGAGATATTAGTAAAATATTGCATCACTTTGTTGAAGTTAAGCTATAGGTGAAAAATCTGTATATATCAATGGCATATCCTCTACAACTAGACTTTCAAGATGCAACACCAGCCATCATAGAAGAATTCTTACACTTCATGATAACACATTAGTAATTGTTTTCTTAATCAGCTCACTAGTAGTTTATATTATCTCACTTATTCTGAAAACAAAACTCACACACACTCGCACTATAGACACACAAGAAGTAGACTATCCAAACAATCTTACCAGTTATTTTCATCTTAATTGCCTCTCTATCCCTATAAACTTTATACATAAGAGACAAAATTATCACTCCACGCCTTATGGTATAAACTATCAGTAACCAAAGATATTGAAGCTATGAATATACAGTTTATGAAGACTTGAATTTTTACTCCTATATAATTCCAACATCAGAGTTAAAGCCAGGGTATTTGGAAGTAGATGATTGGGATGTTTTACCTATAGCGATAGTTAAACAAATGTTAATTTCCGCAGAAGATGTGCGACACTCATGAGCTGCGCCTTCTCTAGGATGAAAATCAGATGCGATTCCAGGGCACCTATATCAAACAATTTTTCTAACACTAATTCAGCTCAGTTCAGTCAGTCAGTCATTTCTGACTCGTTGCGACCCCATGAGCCGCAGCACACCACGCCTCCCAGTCCATCACCAACTCCCGGAGTCCACCCAAACCCATGTCCATCAAGTTGGTGATGCCATTCAACCATCTCATCCTCTGTCATCCCCTTATCCTCCTGCCCCCAATCCCTCCCAGCATCAGGGTCTTTTCCAATGAGTCAACTCTTCACTTTGGCCTGAGGTGGCCAAAGTATTGGAGTTTCAGCTTCAGCATCAGTCTTTCCAATGAACACCCAGGACTGATATCCTTGAGGATGGACTGGCTGGATCTCCTTGCAGTTCAAGGGACTCTCAAGAGCCTTCTCCAACACCACAGTTCAAAAGTATCAATTAGGCCAATAAACTGGATATAATCTGATAACATGAATAAGATAGTAACACAGCTTAACTCATAAAAAATAAAAATCCATGAGTCCATAATGATAGAAATAGTGAATGAATAAAGAAGACAAAGCTCTTCTTCACATTGGAATGTAGCTAATACATACAGATGGTATTATTGATATAAAGTTGGAAAATTAGTAGATGCCCAAAGTGGTAAGTGCTATGATAAGGAAAAGAGTATTTGCATAATATCAAAATAACTTCTCTTAAGATATTTATTAATTTCAATGGGAAAATTGTACCTGTATTGTGAAATACTTAGTGGACACCACTTGAGCCCACTTACCAAGTTTAATATCATCAAAAATGTGGTAAAGTAACATCGCGTGCTACCTGGTAACATACGCTAAGATCTGTGGTATAATTTAAAAACATGTTTGGTCTGGCATTAGATCTCTTCAAACCCTTGGAATTACCTGGTAGTCTTTTTAGATTCATAACAAGACCCTGCCAAGCATACCTGAGCTCATGCTAATGTAAAGCCTCACGGGTGAGAAGGTTTCAAATAGCTTCAGGACTGGGTCTGGGTGCCAGGAAAACCACCTGAGTGATTAGAGGGTCAGAACATTCAGCCCTGCCACTGGATAAGGAAGAGGGGCCTGGAGACTGAGTCCAGTCACCAATGGTCAATGATTTAATCAACCATCCCTACATAATGAAAAAAAAATCAGATTGAGGGAACTTTTGGGTAAAGGTGATCTATGTGCTGGATGGTGTTGCCATAGAGGGTGGGCAAGGAAGTTTTTTGTCCCCCACCTCTCACTCCTTGCCCTATGTATCTCCTCTATTAGGCTATTTCTGAATGTTATCCTCTATAAACATACAGCTATAATCTTACATATGGCGCTTTCCTGAGTCCTGAGTCATTCCAGCAAATCACTAAACCCAAATGGGGAGCCCCTGCGTCTGCGGTCAGCCCAAAACTAGTGTGGCTAGCCTGGGGGTCCTACTCATGGCTGGCAACTTAAGTGGGGACAACACTGTACGACAGGGCCCCTAACCCATGGGATATGGACTCACTCCAGGCAACTCGTGTCAGGAGTGAGCTGGACTGTAGGACACCCCAGCTGGTGTAGAGGTGAAGAACTGACTGTCGGCTGTAAAGCCAAACGAGGTTGAAAGAACATTTGTGGTATTCCTGCCAAAAGCGCCTAAATTGAATCTATTCAAGAAAAACATTCTGCAAGACAACTGGCCTGTCTCATTCCAAAAGACATGTCAAGAAAGATAGAGCAGCACTGAGAGACTACTCCAGATTTAATGGAAACTAACAAGATAGGACAAATACGTGCAATATGTAACCCTGAGTTAGAGCCTTGAACAGAGGGCGAAAAAAATCACTGCAAAGGACATTCATGGGACAACTGTCCAAATTTGACTATGGAATGTTAGCTAAGAGCTTTGTATCACAAAACTTCCAGATTTTGATAAAAGTATGACAATTGTGTAAGACTATATTCTTGTTAGACAATATATATAGTAATTGCTTCTCAGCCTTTTAGCTAAGATCAAGTGCAATATCTGTTCTTATCAGAATATACATATAGTAAAAATGTCTCCGAATGGCTCAGGAAAAAATAATATGCATGCATTACTTACATGCATTACACACAGAAAAAGAAAGTAATAACGCAGATGGGGCAAAATAGAAACAATTAGAGAATCTGGGTAGAGGGTATACCCAAGTTTCTGATACTGGTCTTGCAACTTTTCTATAAGCTTGAAATCATATAAAGATAAAGATAAAGAAAACAAAAAAGGAAATAACCAACTGGATTTGCCAAATTATATGCTGGTCTTCTTCCACAAAGTGGAATATCTAAAGATTATTAGAGCATTTAACAATGATACAGCAGTTCCCAAACTTTGTTCCCTAGGACACAATTACAACACGACAAATGCATCAAAATTGGTAATTTATTAAAATTAGGACAGCAGCTATTGGTATTTCTTTCTTCTGAAATTCATTTTGGAAATAATTTTATTTATCAGAAATTCACTTGAGTAGTGCCTGAGACCTGCAGGATGAGAGATGGTGAAGACATATTTATCTGAAGAAGGACTGAAAAGGAGGGAATAAGGTTGGGGTGGGAAGAGCTGCAGCTCGAGGGAAAGACCACATGAGTGGCGATGTGATCCTTCCCTATGAACCCTCCAATTTCTCTCCCTAAAAATCATGGTGTCCATGGAGAGGCTGCCCCATGGAAGCAAGAGATGCGTCTAAGTTTTGCATTCCTGTTGACTTAGGAAATAAGAGGGTTATTCAGACAACATAAATCCTTTGACACAGGAAATCTTGGGAGGCATAAGGCTTCCACCAGACATAGAACCAGGGCTTCAAGGCAATCTGCGATAGTTAATTTTACGTGTCAACTTGACTAGGCTAAGGGACGCCCAAACGGCTGATAATGCGTTATTTCTAGGTGTGTCTGTGAGGATGTCTCCAGAGGAGATGAACATCTGAATCAGTGGAATGAACAAAGAAGATCTTTATCAATGCCAGTGGGCATCATCTAATCCCTTGAGTTAGGCAGAGGAAAGAAGGACGAATTTGCTGTTTGAACTAAGATATCCATATTCGCTTGCCCGTGTACAGTCCACCAGAGCTTCTGGCTCTGAAGCTTTTGATTCAGACACAGACCAGAGTTACACCAGTGGCCCCCCTGATTCTCAGGCCTGCAGACTCTGAGTTATACCATCAACCACACTAATCCTGGTTCTCCAGCTTGCAGATGGAAGCTAGACTGTGGAACTTCTAAGCCTCCATACCCAAGTGAGCTTATTCCTACAATAAATCACTTCCTATTTATCTCTATATATCCTACTGGTTCTGTTTCTCTGAAGAACACTGAATGATACACAATCTGATCTAAATACTGGATGATGTCTAGTTCTTCAAGTATTAGGAAAATTCCAACACATTTATATAGGTTGTTCTGATTATGGGGTCAATATCTTATTATGCATAAATGCTGTGCCACATTCAAGAAAGTTGCATGAGAGATGGCCTGATAGAGGAGATGATGTGTTGATTGAACATCACTGACATTTGTGGCATAACTGAAACTCACTGGTCTAAGCTGTGGATCATGTCATGTTTTAAATATGTGAACATATTATTTTATCAGCAATAAAACAGTTGAATTCCCAACTGTGTACCATTCTGTTACAAAGTTTTAAAACGGGAATCAAATGTTGACCATTTCTTAAAATTAGTTTATCTAAGAGACTGTTTTATTCTCAGCTTCAGTCTGAACACTGTTTTATTTCATGGCCACCGCTTGGTTTTCTACTGCGACACCACCACGTCTAAGTGTCCTGTGGTCATGTAAGCTGAAGAAATATTGCTATACAGTGTCATTTTTACAGATTACATATCTAAGGAATGTATAGGGCTAAGAAAACACAGAATACGCTTTCACATTTTGACTATTTCCACAGAAGGCTAAGAGACAGTATTCTGTCCACTACTAATTATGAGCAGGCTGAGTAAGGAACCGCAGGCGTGCTCAGGTGCGCCAACTCTTCGCGACCCCATGGACTAGAACATCCGGCTCCTCTGTCCATGGACTCTCCCAGGCAAGAATACTGGAGTGGGTTGCCATGCCCTTCTCGGGGATCTTCCTGACCCAGGGATTGAACCCACGCCTCCTGAATTGGTAGGCAGGTTCCTTGCCACTGAGCCTCCAGGGAAGCCAAGTAATGAATTATCCACTAGCCAACTGATTTTCACTGTTAAGATCAATGTAAATTACATCACAATCAATCCCACAACTTCTAATGAAATTCTGTGCCAGGAAGAACTTCTGCAAGGCCACTATAAATGCAGATCGAGGGTGTCAAGGGTGGAGTAGCAACATGAGAAATCCAGCAGGCTAAGGGGCTTCACCCTGCCGGCCTATTTTAGATAAGAATTAAACCACTGCTCACTGCAGAACAAAAATTACACCATATTATTGGGTTGGTCAAAAAGCTCTTTCAGACTTCTTGTGACATCTTATGAAAAACTCAAACAAACTTTTTGGGTAACCCAAAAACTCTAAAGATGGTAAAGAAAATATATAAAATTGATATATAGGTGACGAAATCCTCAGTGCTTGTGAAGTTTAGGACAATGCAGACAAATGAAGGCTTTCTCAGCAAAACTGAAGCATATTTATGGTCCTAATCTACCAGTGTCACCTAAGATGGGAGGGGGATTCTGCAAATTTGGCAGCAATCCTTCAGCTGTGCCCTTAATACCCCTCTTGGAGTCTGCTACGGTGTGACGTTATTTACAGGGCTCAAAGAGGTCATGGAGACGGCTCCGTGAAGAACCAAAATTGAAAACACTGCTGGTGTAGAGTGGATTCCGAGAGCTATCTCAGGACTTAACGTACGTGAACTATCACATATCTCCCCAGATCCTTACCCTCAGAATTCCTCAACAGTCACCATGATTTACTGACCAACTTCAAAACCTGAGGCATCTCCAACGTCTCTTCTCACTTCCATCTCCTGCGAGCTTCCAAGTCTGGTGGATTCAACTGCTTCTCTAATCCATTTCCTCCTTTTGATCTTGAAGGCCAGTGCCCTGCTTTAGGTCCTTACTTCCTCAGCCTATTAAAATAGCCTCTCCTACCAGTTTCCAGTATTTTTCCATCTAATTTACTTTAATGACCACCATAATATTCATCCTTCTAAAGCACAGTCTGAATCACACCAGTCCCCCTTTCAAACCATCTTCAATTATTCCTCATGGCTCTGAATCAAATACATACTCCTCAGCTGGGCATTCAAGACCTCAGTGATCTCCAGTAGCTCCTCAAAAATCTACACTATTCCCCACATATATCCACATAAGCAACACATGGTCCAACTTCCGTTTCTTCCTCAAATTTCTCTTTGCATCTGGCTCTCACCACGCACACAACTCAATCTATTCAAATCTTACCCATCCTCCAGGGTCTGTATCAATCATTGTTTCCTCAGAGAAACCTCTCTCCATCTCCCCAGTTACATGTGGCCTTCTACTTCCCTGAACCTAACACAATTTTCCTGGCTCTATTATGACCTGCTTTCTACTCTACTTATTTATCTCCCCTACCACAATCTTCTCTTAATCAATACTTATTAGGACTTAGCTCTGTGCCAGGCACTGTACTAGACATCAGGAGTACAGGGCTGAGCAAAACATCTATGACCTCTCAAATTGCACAGGGGAACCTCACCTTCTCTGTGTTACTATGGAACCTACACAGTGTACCACATGATAAGTAGCAAGAACAACTGTTCTATCAAGGTGTTACAACGTGATTCATAAACATACTGCCACTCAATTAAGATGCTTTGTTTAAAATCTCTATTAATAAAAGAATCATTTTCATAGGAAATCTGAAGAAACATATATTGTGATCTTTAAGTCTATAATAAAGACTTGTTCACTACTGAAACAAAAATGGAAGAAATATCAAATCCTTCCATCTAAATATTGTAGAGCAAAAATTTCTATTTTTTGAAGATACAGATAAATTTATTTAGTAAAACAACTGAAAGAGTGGGAAGAAAGATAATCAGACTTTGGTATCAATGAGATGTCAAATGAATGAGTATGATTAAGTGAATGAAGGAACTTAAAAAGACTATTGGTTTGGTTTTCAGCCAGTTTTGGGACCTATTATTTTAGAATCTCAGTAAAATCCTCCGAAGTTCACGTGGTGATAATGTGGATAAGGATATGTATAGTAATCAGGAAAAAACAAGAGAACACAACTGTGAGATGAGCTATGTCAAATTATCACTTAGGAGAGTAACAAGACAAGATTTCCCTAAGGCCCCTGGGTTGGACTCAACCACCAGGGAGGAAACTGACTTTCAAAAGATGGGGAGGTTCTTAACCAAACGTTCCCACTTTAAAGGATGAAATCTCAGTTTCAAACATTGCTATGATTCCCAGCGGCTGCCCAATGCCCCATCCACACTCCGTGCCCCACCGCTGCCCATGTTCCACGAGCTTACTTACCTCATAGGCGTTCTTGATGTTCAAGGGCTCGCCAAGAGCGGCCACGTGTCCCACGATGCCTTTGTTCCACTCTAAGCAGATACAGTTATTCGAAGCTTCTTCCAGTGTTGAACCTCCTGCAACATCAAAGAGGCGGCTGATAAGAAACTTGTCGTTGGAGCTGTCCTCACTGACGAGGAATAAGGAGTAGCGGTTGGCGGAGACAAGTCCATGGATATGCAAGAAAATTTTGTGACATAAGGCTGTGACATCCAAGTGACTAGAAATATCTTTCACTGATTCCAAGAGTCTCGAGCACTGGTCCCCTTCATCAGTATCAAACCGTGGGGAGGTTAGAGGCATCTGTTCCTTCTTGTGTGAGTCAGAGGGGAAGCTCACAGTCCCCTCAGAATCCTTGATAACTATGGGTCTAAGCGGCCAATCAAATTATGGAGGAAGAGATCTTCCTGGTTGGTGTTCCAGGGACACTGCTCTCTGCAACGGTACTTGGCTGCAAGGGGCAAGAGCAGGATTCCATGTGGCCTTTGATTCCTTCCTTGCACACAGGGACGGTGTGAACTCTCTCAGCAAACCATGCATTGACCATTTCTCTGTAGAAAAGAACATGTAGACACATTAAATATTTGAGGAAGATGGGAGTGGATAAATAAGATGTGGTGCATATATACAATGGAATACTACTCAGCCATAAAAAAGGACTGATGCACGGTAACTTGCAGAGACGTGGATGGACTTACTCTCTGTCATACATAATGAAGTAAGTCAGAAAGAGACAGATAGCCTATATTAACACATATATACGGAATCAAGAGAAATGGTACTGATGAGCCTATCTGCAGGGTAGGAACAGAGATGCAGATGTAGAAAGTGGACGGCGGTCATGCAGGGGGGGTGAACAGGAAGACTGGGATCGCGGTATGTGCGCTGCCACGCGTAGGACAGACAGTGGTGGGAACTTACTGTGGAGCACAGGCGATTCAGCTCAGGGCTCTGTGGTGACCTAGACGGGGTGGGGGGGGGGGGTGGCGAGCATGCTCGGTCATGGCTGACTCTTTGCTATCCCAGGGACCGAAGCCTGCCCAGGCTCCTCTGTCCATGGACCTTTCCAGGCAAAGGAGAGGTTGCCATTTTCTACCCCAGAGGATCTTGCCAACCCAGGGATCGAACCAACATCTCTCTTGTCTCCTGCATTGGCAGGCAGGTTCTTTACCACTGTGCCACCTGGGAAGCCTCCCTCCTTAAACACTGCTACCCCTGAAAACTTCTAAAATCCTCTCATGGTTAACTGATGCAGTAACCATTTGTCATAGAAAATGAAAACATGATGGTCTATTTAAGACAGTTTATTTTGAAAAACTGTAGAGGACAATTGTTTCAGTGAACATTTTAATAAAAGATTGACTCCTGTATACATATATTTTCAGATGTCTGATTTATAATGCATCAAGTGTCAAGTCAGTTCCTCTCAAAAATCAGTTTGAATTAAAGTAAAAGCCACTAAATTTGACAATAGTCTAAGGAAAACACAGGCATGGGAATCTGCTGTTTAAAACACACAACTTATTCTGAAGTTAAATATTCAAAAATTTTTTAAAAATTTATCTGAATTTGGCTAGGTTACATGCTTAATTTTAGACACTTTTTATCTATACCACTATATATAGATTAGATTTAGGAAAGGAAATAGAAAACAGAAACAATTTGATCTAGCATGTAGAAGAAAGATTGTAGACTTCCATTAATAACATCCTAATAATGCATGTCCAATAATCTAGAATAATCTTCTTCTATTTACTCCTTGTACAAAGGAGGAAAACAAAAAAAAGGCAGTAACTAGTATAAAAAATTTAATCCAAGAAAATTTAAATTATTTATGTTGTTCATGTGCCACTCCATGAAGAAACTTATCTGAGCTAAAAGTTTCATAGTCAGTATTAAAAAAAAAAAGAAAAAAAAAAAAAAAAAACAACAACAACCCACCAAATATACCAGATCATACACATCCGAAAGACTGTTGTTCAGTTCAAGCTTCTTGGGAAGCTGTAATCTGATGCCAATTGATGCCCCCATTACTTTAAACATTCTGGGAACTTTTGAAACTAACTTCTAAAAAAATTCAAAGTCATATAAGAATATGAGTTCACCTAAAAGCTAGATCTTGTTTTTCACTGAGCCTTGCTCTCAAAATAAGCAAAGAAAACCACAAAAAACCTAGAGCAATGGCTAACAATACATATTGTATGCAGACCTGATTTTTTCCCCAAATACAGACCTGATTTTTCTCCAAACTCAAAAATTTATTTTCAAAAGATGATAACTTGCTAGCACCGAGGATACTTAAAAGAACTGGCCTATAAGAGCAATGCAATCTCCATGAGGCAACGGTTTCCTGGTCATTTTCATGAAACAGCCAGGATGCAGACACTCTCCAATCCTTCTGGCTGCAGCAGAAATTGATAACACCTCTTCAGAGGGCAAGCAGGCAGTATCTAACAAGTTTTAAAATGCATTTATCCTTTGTTCCAAAGATTTTACACACAGAGCAAAAGAAGTATCAGTGTATTTACTTACTGTTTGTTATAGCAAAGATAAGAGCAAACTAATCCCATAAATAGAAGCCTGGCCATCACGGCACATTTATAAATGAACACTGTGCCTGTGCTAAGGTGCTTCATGTCCGACTCTTTGCAACCCCATGGACTGTAGCCCACCGGGCTCCTCTGTCCTTGGGATTCTCCAGGCAAGAATACCAGAGTGGGCTGCCATGCCCTCCTCCAGGGGATCTTCCCTACCCAGGGATTAAACCCACATCTCTTACATCTCCTGCATTGGCAGGCAGGTTCTTCACCACTAGCGCCATCTGGGAAGCCCAAATGGATCACGAGGCAGATAGTACAAGGTACTGATATGAATAATCACTCCAATCTATTAAGTGAAAAAAGATCCGGGAGGAGAGAAGAGCTAATCATTTTCCTGGGTCTCCACTATGTCTTTCACTTATAAAGTGTTCCCTGAATTATTTTATTTTGAACAATAATCTATTGTTTGGTAAATATATATTACCCTGAATTGACACCAATCTATAATGCAATGGGTAAAAAAAATATATAACATAGATATTATCAGGATTATCTCATAATTCCAAGTGTCAGATACATTTTAAAGCTCTCTTTAACAAGTACTTACTATATTACTCCAGTATATACATAGCACAGAGTTTTGTTTTGTTTTGTATGTAATTGCCTAATATTTTATAAATGCATGCCGTGGCTTGGCACAAAATTTCTAGTGATAAGAATATACCCTGGTAACAGTGTATCTCAAAAACTTCTATAGAAATGAGGGGGACATACCTTGGGAAATGTTTATGCAATGTCCTAAACCACAAAAAAAAGATTGTGCCAAAGACATTGATGTCAGATATGCATGTGAGAAATGTACAGGAAGCATTTGAATAAAATGTTTTGTAAAACATGAAACAGGAACCCAGCAATATGTTTAAGTCAATCTAGTTTATGTGATTAAAACATATGTACATGTAACTTAAAAACTTCTCAAATCAACATAAAAACAGGTATTTTAACTATGTCAGCTACAAACCTGAAACACAGCCTCAGCCTATTTATCTTCTCACTGAAAAATGGTGATGAACATTTCAATTTTTAATCAAACCACCTCCCTGACAACATCTACACAGACACCTTGAAGCGGTGAAATCACAATTCCTAACACCCCGCCCTTCTTCTTGCTCAAATCTCACTCCCTGTCCACTTTCTTCCTATCACTTACTTAACTGCACATCTAGGAATTACTCTGAATGTTTCCTTCAACTCTCAGATCCAGTCTAGCAACCAAGTCCTGTCTAGTTGACTTCCAAAACCCTATACTCCAATCTGCTCTTTTCTATCTCCTATACTACTTCCCTGGCTCAAGCTGCATCATCTCCCATCTTGGACTATGGCCACAGCCCCTTAATTGGACTCTCTGAGATTATACTAGCCTCCTTCAACCCATTCTCCCTATGGCAGCTAGAGCAACCTTTGAAAAAGTAGGCCTTAACATCTTAACCATCTTACTGGGCTTCTCACTGAACTGAGAGTAAAACCTAAACTCTTCCGACCCCGACCACAGTCCCTCCCTCCCACACAGGCCTCCCTGACCTCCTCAAGCACATCAAGCTTTGACTGCCCCCAGGCTGGAACACTTCTCCTCACCTGCATCTGGCAGGTCACGGCTCCCTCCTCACCTGCACAGACAGGTCTTGCCTGCTCACTTCACCTCTCAAGGGGCCCCAACACATTATGTTCACCGCACCCCCCCAACCCCCATGATCTGAATTCTTGCTGTCACTCTTCAGTCGCCCAGTCCTGTCCAACTCTTTGCAGCCTGACAGACTGCAGCACGCCAGGCCTCCCTGTCCCCCACCATCTCTCAGAGCTTGCCAAAGTTCATGTCCATTGCATCCGTGATGCCATTCAGCCATCTCATCCTCTGATGCCCTTGTCTCCTGCTGCCATCGATCTTTCCCAGCATCAGGAACTTTTCCAATGAGTCGTCTGTTCACATCAGGTAGCCAAACTATTGGTAGCTTCAGCCTCAGCATCAGTCCTTCCAATGAATACTCAAGGCTGATCTCCCTTAAGACTGACTGGTTTGATCTCCTTGCAGTCCAAGGGACTTACAGGAGTCTTCTCCAGCACCACAGTTCGAAGGCATCAATTCTTTGGCATCCTGCCTTTTTTACAGTCCAGCTCTCACAACTGTACACGACCAATGGTGAAGACCATAGCCTTGACTATACAGACCTTTGTTGGCAGGGTGGTGTCTCTGCTTTTCAACACACTGTCTAGGTTTGTCATCACTTTTCTGACAAGAAGCCACTGTCTTCTGATTTCATGGCTGTAGTCACCATCCACGGTGATGCTGGAGCCCACGAGGAGGAAATCTGTCACTACTTCCAACTTTCCCCCTTCTATTTGCCATAAAGTAACGGGACCAGGTGCCATGATCTTAGTGTTGTGTTTTTTTTTTTTTTTTTAATATTTCGTCTTAAACCTGCTCTTTCACTCTCCTCCTTCACCCTCATCAAGAGGCTCTTTATTTCCTCTTCGCTTTCTGCCATTAGAGTGGTAATGATTTCTTACTATCATCTATTTTTCTTGCTTAATAACCTGTTGGTTTACTGTCTGTTTCCTCCAAGGAGATGTAAATTTCATACTCATCTGTCTTGTTAACAACTGCATTCCTGTACTTAGAAAATGTCTGTGACATATTAATACTATGTCCTTGATAAATATCTGAGTGAAGTGAATGAATAAATAAATGAAGCCTCCTAAACTAAC